CAACGGATAGCATCCAAATATTCATATCGATTGGAGCATTAGGGTCCTGATTAGGAGGCTGATGATGAGATGACGAGTCTGTTGCTGCTGATGAAAATAATACATCATCATCCACCATATTGATAGAAGAGGATGGTGTTTGTTCCTCTGTATAAAACAAATCCGAGCGAATCATCTTGTATTATTCAATTCCTCTCTTCTTGTTATGTGTGGGTTGTTAGCAAACGAAATGAAAGGGAAAATTTCCTTTGCGTTTCAAAATGTTGTGAATTTTTTTTTGGTGTCGTTACCTATTAAAGTTTGTTGTCCACAGATAAACATTGAAAATTATTTCAATAAATTAATTTGTGGTACTCATGGATTGGATATTGAATTGCATATTTAATACAATATATTAGGTTGTATTGATAAAGAGGTTTCTGGTTAATTAAAATTTTTAAATAATTTAATTAGGTTTATTCATTGTTGGAACTCAAATTTCTCTTCTTCAAATTGGATGGAGCAGTTTCATTGGATGTTGCTTCAACAACCTTGTCACCTTCTTCATCACTGGAAACATCAAAGTTATTGGCTGGATTGGTTTGAGTATTTTCAGTATTTTCAGCTGGTTCAGTCTTGCCTTTCTTTTCAGAATCATCAGACATGCAGAGAATTGCCAAAAAGATACCACAAATAGCAATACAGAACATGGTAACAACACCAATACTAATATATGGATGGTCATTCAAAAAGTGAAGAATAGTTGGTGTATTATCAACTGGTCCTGGAATTTGAACCTTACTACTAACATGTCCACTGGTGATGAATTTTTGGAGTGATTCTACAGATGGTTGTTCCTTGAATTGTGACATCATCTTATCAGATCCAGTAAAGATGACGAATTGAGGACCATTAGTAAGATCAATAGTTAATCTCTTTGTACATAACTCCTTTTCTTGATTACAATCAATCTTGGCAAAGAAATTATTTGTATCCTTATTATTGGTAGCAAGTTGTTGGAAGTTTGAGTCAAATTGTTTAGTTTGAGCTGATTCGGAATTGTAAAACATGACAGTCCAAGCTCTGTTTTGATTCTTAATTTTGGATTCCAATTCAACTTCAGTTACTTGATCAACAGATCCAGAACTCTTAGCTGATGAAAAGACATCATCCAAAAATGATTTGAATTTTGGAACTGTTCTATAACCATAATATTCAGTAACAGGCTTTCCACCAACAAATAAAACAAGTGTTGGATATCCTCTGATAGAATATTTTCTACGAATATCTGGATGTTCATCACAGTTAACCTTTGCTAATTGAACATTTTGGAAGTGTGGAACAGATGAATCCTCAAGTTCTTTGGCTAATTCGGACCAAGTGCCAGCCAATCTTTTACAATGACCACACCATGGAGCAAAGAATTTAATAAAGAAAACTTTTTGTGGATTTGATTGTATGGTGGTTTCAAAATTTTGTGTATTTAATTCGAGAACAACACCCGACGATCCATCAGCTTGAACAAAGAGTGCAAAAAGCACCATCAAACAAAACAAGCTAATCAATAATTTTGATTTTTGCATTTTTTCTTATTATTTTTATTTGAAAACTTATTATTAGGGTGAAATATCCTGTGCTCAATATTATTAAATAATAAACAAACGAATAATACTGGAATGGAGGAAACATCGGATTCAAAAACCCGAAAGCAATTTCAATCATTATAATTTTCCACTTTTTGAACGATGTCAAATGACTACAAAATTTGCCCACTTGTTATTGAGCAAAAAGTTTATCGTTTATCCATTAACCTTAAAATGGTTTCGTAACTTGTTTGTGTAACAATGGTACCCAAACAGAATCTCAGTAAATATGTATTAAGACCACTGTAAAGAGCCCTAACACCTCCAGATTTGTAAATTGATTTGAAAGCATCAACCCATCCATTGTAATGCACACCTCCAGCACTTTTCTTTCCTTGGAATTGAAGATTACTAATAATTAAATCATTTGGATAAGTCAATGTTGAAACAGCAATCATTGTAAGAGGTGAAAGTACTGGTACAACAGCAAGGTATGGTAAGTTCATAGTATTTACACAATATAATTTCAACGGCTCGTAAATTGAAAAGTATAAACAAAATACAGTAGCAGAAATTGCAACTCCTCTGTAATTTAGAATATTGTCACAAATTGTTGAAATGGAAAACCTACCTGTAACCAGCATAAAATCCAGACAATCCTTCGTTTTTGTAAATGCTTTTAATTACTTGTAAAAAGGTTGTCGAAGGATTTGATTCGGAATAAAGAGAAATTGTTGATGATGTTTGTAATCTTACTTTTACAAGTGAAATTGGAGAAACTAGTACTGATGAAAAAGCCCAAGCAGATAAAACTGCAGGAACAATTACTTTAGGATGCCACGTTTCAGTTCCGAATGATTCTGAAAATCTCTTTCTACAAATTTCATAAATAGGGAAGAAAATTGACATTGAAACACACGATGAAAGAAGAGACGGTGGTAAACCTCTGTTTGATTTCTGGTCATCCATTTAAATTCCATCATCAAATGACTTACCGATATAGAGCCTTCCATCCTTCATTCCTATAAATACTAGAAAGCATTGCTATTGATTTAGAATTCATAATTTTCTGATAAACTCCCTGTGATGTACAACTTGTTGTAGGGAGTTCCATATTTAATCGTTTAAAGACTTGAATTCTAGTCTTGGCACAATCTAGAGGTTGAGTAGCTGTAGCAGTACACAGTCCTGAGGATCGGAAATAATTGACTTCATATGAAGATGAAGAGAAACATACCACTTATAACACCTGCCAATCCATATTGCACAGTATCACTTTGTTTCATCTTTTCATACAATTCTCCTAGTGTTGATATTTTTGTTTTCGTGCGAATATTACTAGTACCACTCGAGTCATCTAATTGTTGTTCTTGTTGATGATGATGATTAAATTTTGTGGTACCACTTGTAATGGGTGATGTTTTGTTATTAATATATTCCATTACATCCTCCAAAATATTAATATCCTCTCCTTCATAGGGTTTAATTTCCTTCCGATGATACGATGCATTATCTATTGATGTTTGAACTTGTTCAGTGTTCTTTTTAGAAAAATCCAACAAGCTAACATTCTCTGGTTGTTCGGCCATTTTTTGTTTTTATAAATTTTGTTCAATTTTCCTTAACTTGTTAGAAATAAATTTTTTAAAGAAAGATGGAAAATTGATTGGTTTTTCAAATATTGATTGAGTTTTAGAATTGACAATGAAAAAAATAGATTTTAATTTAATAACTCGGCTATTGAGATTGAGGTTCTTCTCTTTGAGGGAATAAATGATTGAGGTGGAGAAAGGTTGAGAGAATCAAATGAAATTCTAGGTAGATTACAATGAGTGGTAGAGGTGGAATTGGCGGATGGTGAAAGTTCAGTATTATTGGATGGATTGGATTGGTAATTTACATGTTCTGAATTTCTCTTTCCACACAGAGAAGGGGATAAAAATTCTTCCTTTTCAATTATTTGTACAGATGCAGAAACTGGCTTTTTTCTTACATACTTTCTCTTTTTCTCGATTTGTTCCTTGGTAACTAGATTGAAAAATACCAACTTTGGTTGCTCCTTATCATGCACTTTGAATTGAAATGTTTGGGATTCGAGGGTTTGTTTGGCAGATTTGGATGAGTTCGAGCTATCTGTTGATTTATCACTGGTTGAAGAGTTGGATGTCACAGAGGCAGATAACGAGCACACTGAAGCTCTTCTGTTTTGCTTAGACATGCTGGTGGACACATGCATCATGAGAGGACTGCCTTTGTTATTATTCGAAATGTATTGTTTTGTTGATGAATTGTGAATTAGAGGAGATGAAACATGTCTTATAGGAGTTGGGTTTGCATGTGGTGGTGGTATTTCTCTATGATATTTGGATGAATCATCCACAAATTGTATAGAATTGTCAGCTTGAGCTATTGGTTTCGACTTCTCCATTGAAAATGGCACAAAAGTTATTCCAGCAGCAGCAGCAGATGATGACTTCATATCGAAAGGTTAGGTCGCTGAGATGGTATCTTGAGATAGATATTGGCAGCTAGGAGTGGATAGTTACTTGGTTTTTTTTGTTTGTTTGAATCTGTTTTTGTAGAATTTGTTACCTCTTTTTAATAGAGAGCTGTGCTGTGAAGAGGAGGTGTTGGGATTGTTGTAGGTTGAGATGATTCCGTTCCAAATAATATTAAACGTTTTTGAGGCGATTTGCCTATGTTTTAAAAACGCATTAACCATTTTCTTAATAAGTAACCAACAGTTACTTCGCACAACATGAATCTATGTCTTTTGGATGAAGAGACATGAAGGTTGACTTGTTTAATATGAAAAGTAGAACTAGTCGTACAGAACAAATGTATTTGATCTCACAATACAATTCTAAACCTAGTACTAGAATTGGCAATAATCATAATTAATCGAAACGTTCTTATCACTTTTCTTGAACCAGAACTAGCAGTAGAAGGTAACGCAAAAATTAACGTCGAATATTTGAGGAATTTGTATAATATATTGGCTGATAAAGTAATTCCATTTTACAACAAATTCATCAATTTGCAACGAATACCAACCCTGTGAAGAATAGGTGATGAAATATTTGTTCATTTGGTCTCTCATCTCTCAACATTAATTGAATAATTAGTTATCTGTTAAAGTTTGGTATATCTTGAATGGTAACATAAACTGTTCACAGAAAATGATCGGTTCCATTTGTGCGTAGACAGGTTCATTATTCAAATATTCATGACACCATTTTACAATACAATTCGAACACAATATTAGGATTTTCAATATCTATTTTTGATTGAGTGGTGACTCTGATCTTGTTTTTCCAATTAGTAATGTAAGGACCTGTGAGCCAAATTTTATACACTCTACTGTTTAGTGAATTAATTTACCATATTCACAACTATTAGCTTTTTAACATTTGCGTTTAAATGGGTAATTTCGCTGATGTCAATCTTATTGAAAAGTAAATTAATTGACTGAATGTTAGGAAGTTTGTTACTCAGTTTCTCACTGTTGAAAACTTCACAATCTATATGGTCTACAGCATTGAACCGTAAATTGATGAAACGAAGAGATTGAAAGTTAGTATCAACCAATGTCAAGAATCCCTGATTTCCAATCCTATTGTCGTATAGCTCCAATGAAGTGAGAGAATTCAAAAAAGGTGCTTTCCTTAAAACAGTGCATCCAGTATCGCCAATCCTGTTAAAAGAAAGATCCAATTCTTTCAGTTTAGTTAACGGAAGTGAGCAAAGGACTTCTAGTCCTTTGTGCGTTAATACGTTGTATCTGTATGTAAACTTTCTTAATCCTCTCAATTGGTTTGCATTATTCTGAGATAGAATACTAATACCTAAACTTCCCAATTTGCTATACGAAAGATCCAATACCTGTAGAGCTGTAAAGTTTACAATCGGAATGGATAGTTTGTAATGATGTAAATCAAAACCCTTCACACAAAATTCTCTGGCAGAATTAAATCTCCCTTCCTTACAACACAATAAGAATGACTGATTCCTTTGAGTGTCAACATTCAAATTAGTTTGAATTATCAATAGATTGAAATTATTCACAGAATTATACCAAGCCTTGCAAACCAAGAAAGCCACCCGAAAAATCCATTGGCATGGAAAGAATGTAAAGACTTCATTAGTGATAATATCCAGAGGAATATTCGTCATCATCATGATTATTTTGTTATTATTTTCATCATCAACATGATTAATTATTGTTGTTGATCCGATAGTAGGAGATGTTTGCTGGAGTTGTTGTTCTCTTGAAGGAGGCTCCTCAACTGATTGTTGCTTCTTTCTTTTCGGAAGAGCAGAATGTTCGTTGCTCTGTCTTTTCATTTTTTTCTGGAAATTGTAAAACGTAAACGCAAACACAAGCAATTATTATTAACTTATTCCTTCAATTGCTTAATAGCAGCAGTAACCAATAGGTGAACTGAGTAGTGAGTTCTATCTCTGTTGAGGCGTATTGCATGTTGTTAAACAGAAAAAGTTCAATAAGAAAAATCTCAAGGGCTCGCCACGTTTACCGTCTCGGGAGGAATCGAACCTCCGTCAATGGATTCAAAGTCCACTATGCTACCATTACACCACGAGACGAGCACATTCACTAAATCAACACCTTAATCATAATATTTAATTGAAGCAACAATTTATGTAGACTGAACTGGTTCTTTTGGTTTTTGATAATTAATTGAAAATATGCCGCGTTTTGAGATTAAATTTTAAGCAAAAAGGAAATTGTAGTTTACTCCCATAGCTTCAAAACACATCAAGAAGGCAAACCATTTTCGTTAAATTCTAAGCCTCAAAACCTGGCATTACAACAACTAGAGTGACCAATACAAAAATACCTTTATATTGATATTGTACCTGTTGTGGAGAGTTTATATTGGGTAAATATGAATACATTCATTAAATCCACAATTTCACAGCCATCTGAATGAAACAGATGATAATTATCGAATAGTTGAAAAATATATTCGAAAATGAATTGGGTAAAATACCACCAAGCATCACAAATTGTAATCATTTGGCTTCGAACAAATTATTTCACAATACTATTAAAGAAAGAATAAATTTTACTGATACTAGCTAATAAAAAGGAAGTATCCAAAATAAATTAATATTTTCTTTCTTGAGAGAAGGAGAGGAGAATAGAGTCATAAAACTATTTTCTATTTGAAAGAAAGTGCAACACTTTAGTAGTTCAGTAGAAAAAATTAAATATTCGTTCTGTACAGATAAGGGTAGTGGATAGTTTCAGAATAAATGTGAAATCGGGTGTGGTATAGTGGTAGCATTCCAGACTGTCACTCTGGCGACCCGGGTTCAATTCCCGGCACTCGAGTAGTAATTTTTAATTCTTAATATTTTTGCCCAATTTTTCATAGATCCCTACTAGACATCCATATCAAGGTAGTGGCGTTTTTATTTTTCAAAAATTATCTATATTTCTTTTTTTGGAAGCCTCGGCAGGCATGCAATTTTTTTCATACCTCACATTAAGTTGTAAAAATTTTCAAATTGACTTTATCCAACAATCAGTCTTTTCTTTTCATTCCATCCATAAGATGATTCATTATAAATTGTTTATTAAGACCTCAATCCCAATCAAAATCACAAAAAAATTACAAAAAATAACACAATCATAAACAAGAACTGCACCTATCAAGTTTGGATTTTGATTTGAAAAATGTTGCTCAAGGCCGATATTTTAATAAAAGATGAAGGATATTGGAAACAAGATGAAAAAACCATCGAATCAATTACTGGAAAACGATTCAGAACAATTTACGAAATTCTCACTGAAGAGGTGGATTTAAATTTGGATAATTATAATAGTGATCGACATATTTTGATATCAAGGGTTGAAATTTTATATGAAAAGGCAGAGAATAAGGCAATGCCTTTGTGTTTCGTATTGGTAAACATTATTCGATACATTAAACAGTTGAATATTCTGGTTTGGGGAGACAAAACAAACCCCATCAAGCAACTAACATTCCTCTCCATGTTTGGAATCCCCTCTGATGTGAGTGGAGTTACTCGAATCTAGGCAATTGATTCTGACAAGTGCAAAGTTTCACAAAATAGTTTCGTCTTGGAAGTATCTGCATTTAACTTTACAAATAACACCAACAGGAATGTTGAACATCTAATGTGGAATAACTATTTTGATGGAATCCAAGTTAACAATTATTCATTTGTTGATTTGACATGTGAAGATTTTTATGTGGCATGTAAGAAATCAATTCCTAAACTCATTTGCACCGTTCTATGGTGAGATAATCAACAACAATCCTTGGATTTCGAATCAGTTTCTTATTTAGAATTCAAAATAAGGTTCTAAAATGATTTGATCAGTTGATGAATTTTAAAACAATTTATTGAACCTGTTGAAAAATTTTGATCTTCTATTTTTAACTCTAAAAAAATCAGTTTTTAATCGATTTGCAAGCTAATCAAAAATCGATCAACATTCACAAAAAATTGAATCGAAACACAGATTCGGATTTCTCAGACTCCACATTCCATCAAAATCTTTTAAATTTCATCAAATTGTCTTTCAATTAAAATGTCAAATTCTTCCTATTCAACAGCAGCAACTCCACACAGCAGAGCTTTAAAACGTTTATCCAAAGATTTCATTGAAATTCAGA